CCTCATTATGCAGTTTTCTCCAACCTCCTGTTACTTCATCTCTCTTCGGTCCAAATATTCTCCTCAACACCCTGTTCTCAAACACCCTCGGTCTATGTACCTCCCTTAATGCCAGAGACCAAGTTTCACACCCATACAGAACCACAGTCAAAATTATAGTTTTGTATATTCTAATTTTTATGTTTTTGGACAGCATAGAAGAAGACAAAAGGTTCTGGACTGAATGGTAGAAAGCATTACCTGAGTTCAGTGTCCTCTTGATTTCCTCCTGAATATATATATATATATAGAGAGAGAGGCAACTAAACATAATAGTTTCAGAAGTAGATATTTGTATATCATCATAAAATATGCCGACTATAAGAAGTTGGTGCATCTTGAAATTGTGGACATACACATTCCATCAAACAGAGTACAGGATAAAACTACTTTATTATAATTGGGTTGAGGTGGCTGGTGCATGGGGTAATGTTTGTGTTTGATGTAGGCAAGAAGCTACAGGAGACAACCTACATAGAGACTGGAGCACTGGAGAAGCGTCCAAGTCACAAGCAGAGGCTTCAAAACATGTGTTCTTATCTGCAGCTGGTGATGGGTTTCTGGGTAAATTAATTTACTCTTTGTTTGAATGCTGCATCATGGCATGGCTGATTGCACTGTCTCCCTCTTGGAAGCCTTTCTTACTTCAGTGGCATTCATATTTGGGGTTGCAAGTGACATTAGGTCAAGATATGTAAAAGTTGTGGGTTCAGAGGCAAATATCAGAAAAGTTCTGCATCTCTACAATAAAGAATGATTGCTAATTGGTAGCACAGAAACTGTTTCATTGGGAGTTATAAGAGAAACTGGTGACAGTAGGGAAGTTTTCTGTGACACATATGTTGAGAGAAATTAAATGACAAAACCAGAACAAAAAATTATGAAAATGTAAGAATAAACATATGAGTTGTAAGAAAGAAAGAAAAAGATGGTAAAGCTAACCCTGTAACAGGCTATAGAGGCCCATAGGGTTGTGAGATGTCGAGGCTCCCACATTTTCTAGACAGTCAACTCACAGATGGTGGTGAGGTTGTCAGCCTAATGTGCCGGTCGTGCTATACACCCAGGAAGATTCATGCTACTTATTTCTGTTAAGAGACTGAGTCAACTCCAGGACCATAGTGTGGCTGCAATGATTAGGTCATTTGAAAAATCAAGTGACCTTATCAGGAATAGAACCCGTGATCTAAGAATAAGCATGAAGGAAATTATGAGGACTGATCTGTCAGAAACATTTCTTAAGCTTTGATAGGGGTGTAAAGAGAATGAACAGCTAAATTTCAACAGATGTTCAAGGTAAGAGGAATATGGTTGGGCATTACTATGCATGGGGAAACAAGTGCATGTAAAGTACTAGTTAGGAAATCTCAAGGGAAGACACTGATTGATTGAGGTGGGGGGGGGGGCTCTAGTAGTAGGATAATGAAGTGATTCTTAAAGAAATAGCTTCTGGATGTGTAAACTAATCGCATAGTCTCTGGGAAGGGTCCAGTAGTGGACTTCCATGATCGTGGTGATAACCCATTTCTGTCACCAGTACATCTAGTAAATCAGGAAGATTCATGGAAAGAATTAAACAGAAAGAGCTTTGAATTCACATATTTTTTATATGGGGATTAAATTGAACTGGCTTATGACTGACCCCTTTGATAGTATTTGGTGATAGAATTGTTGAATCTTTTTACTCTGATCACTTGTTTGGTTTGGTGACTAATTAATTATCATACATTTGTTTACAGACTTTATTTTTGTGAGTTTGTATAAATATGCCTGTTAACTTTGGCATATCTGTTTGTATGTCTGTCCTCACGCAACAACTGAGTAACTGCTAAATGGATTTTGAAGAAATTTAATATTGGGAAGATTATTAAAAAATGTGTTAATACATCTGCATTTTGTGAATAACAGACACTTTATATGAATCTGTATGTTTCTACATGCATGTCAAGCATGTTTATGTGTGCCTTGTTCCAGAGCCACTACCAGAAGTGATTAAAGTTTTTTTTTCTTCCATATTCCTATGTCTCTGGGTTAAGTCATGTGTTGCACATAACAGAAGACTCCTTCCAAAGAAATTTACTTTTTCTTCATTTATGTAACCATATCTTTGTGCCCCAAATTCTTTGGTTGTTCAAATGTCATGAAAATCCATTTCCATTCTTGCTGATATACCTGAATCTTTCATCTGTTCATATTTGGTTCTACTTGCTTGTAATAACAGAAGAGTTGACAGTTGGTTAACCATAACTAAATTCAGCTTACACCACGTGTTATCGCATGAGTTAGAGCACAGTGGCTACTTTCTCGTAAGAAACATGAAATAATTTATGAATAGGTAATAGCTCATAATTTTAAAAGGTAGGGAGAAAATAAATTTCTGCTAACAGAAATGAAACGTAATGGATCACATTGTTAAGCTGAAGTGATATATATTCCATACCTTTCTACTTGCTTATATACATAGCAGGAGAAATTATTGTGATCATGAAAAAACTGACTGCAAGATTTTGGTAGATTTAATTGTTTTTAGCACCAATTAATATGAAAACGTTTTTGCAATGCTGTCTGTATGTATTTGCATCAGAGTAGTCCTTAAATGATGATAATAATAATAACAGTAACAATAATAATAATACTTATAATAATATAGTCTGTAGTTGCATCAGGAGCATAAGTCGCCTACAAGCATAGTGCTTGAATGGGTAGACAGATATAGTTCATATTCAGTGTGCAGTTGTTTAATCATCCTAGGTTCTTTCTAGGTGAAGCTGAACATTCCAGCTCCAAAAACAGGCACCCTTCAGACGTGCTCCAAAACACAAATGGTTATTTGAAAACAGCTCTGATAATTTAGATTATATTGCAGTAATTTATGAATACCATCTTCCTCAAAAAAGCAGCAGTACATCCTCTAATAACCCAAACACAAAATATTAGTATTCTTGAAAATGGCTTGATTAGTTTTGGTTAAATTTCAGTCATCTGTAGAGGCCTCAAATAATATTTTGTAGGACAAAACAGCTGGGGCTGTCACAAAAAAAAAAAATCTTTCTCAAAAATAGCTTGAATGATTTTGATTAAATTTTGACAGTTTAGTCCCAAATAAAACTGCATTGTTCATATATTCAAGAAAATAACAATATGCTGTCTAAGGGTTGAAACACAATATCAATTCTATAAGGCTGCGATTCATGAAACGTATGTGAAAAAGTATGTGCAGTGTCTTTGCATCAGTTCTTTTCTCTGATGGATCTACAGCTGTAATCCATCCGCCAGTGTTGAGATAAAAGAGGGTCAGTTTTACATGTTTTGTTCTCAGAATCTTCATCTTGTTCCCTGCACATTTCACACTGCAACCAGTTGTCTTGTGGGTATGAGTGGAATATGAGTATCTGCTAGTTTAGCAATGCCAAATTATCCCCTGATAAACATGCTGCAGTTCCACTTTTGAAAATATAATTGACTGGCTATATTTTGTCCTAATTAATGTGTTTATGTTTTCTTCTAATGATGCAATTCGTTGCTTTTTTTTTTTTTTTTTCAGAACTCTGCATATGGCCATTTGCATTAAAATATCCAGCATGAAGCTAGATATAAAGCAGGGCTGTGCCATAGCTCAAGCAGTTAGTCGCTGGCTTCCCAGCACGGTGGCCCGGGTTCGATCCTGGGTCTGGTCAAGTGGGGGACAAAGTGGTGCTGGGGCAGGTTTTCTCCGAGTTCTTCGGTTTCTCCTGCCAATCTTCATTCCACCAAATTTTCCATCATCATAATCACCAGGGGCAGGCTACAATAGGCCAATCAGTGGCTGCCGTGCCGAGTAGACCCAGTTTGACTCCACCCTCCACTAAGTGAATTTAAGAAAAAAAATTTTAGATATAAAGCAGGAGTGTTCATCTGGTGTGGCCCAAAGACACATAAATTTGTTTCATTTTGTTACTTTTTTATATTTTGTCTCTTGTTTAAAATATATAGAATTAACTTTACTTTGATAATGGGCAAGTCATTATATTATAATCTTAGTTAAAAGGTATCAAGTTAATCAGTTTGGAGATAGATGTCTTAACATGTGCTTAACTGGTGAACTCTTTGAGTCGCTTGAGCAAGTTTTGCTAGATTTGGGATAAGTCACTATCACCTGTGCTTAAAGGCTGTTTTTACTATGTATACTTTAAACTGTGGCACAGTTAGGCAGAATATTAGGTTTTTTAGGAATTTTTGCATCTTGTCATCAACACAAGTAAGATTTAATCAGTAGCTTGAATTGCAGATATAAGCAGAGTGGGAAAGCTTATAGCACTGTGATTATCAGTAAGAGAATGAAAGTTCAACATGACCATCTTGTGGTTTGGTGATTTTCCTTGATCCCACCAGGAGAATGATACAGTGTTGACACAGCATCTTTACATACATTCGTATGCCTGTATCCTTTGAAAATTTTACAGTAATTACCATTCATAACTTTCTGGTATCGTGTGATATAATTTCTGCACCTGTAATGCATCATAGACTTAGTCAGTCAGTCCAGCAGCTTAAAGTATGACAGTCCTAACAAAGAAATTATAACTACTTTGAAAAATTATGTTGTACATATGCTTGCTTTTTGACTGCCTCTGTGGTCTAGTGGTTAGAGTTCCTGGGTACAGATCCAGAGGTCTGGCCTCAATGGGGTCCAGGCTCCTGTCTAGAAAACCGAAATTAACGGCCATGGGGATTTTTTGTGCTGACCACGTGACACCATCTATCCGCTGAAGTTGGCACTAACTTTGCCGACAAGCAGCAGTTGCTTGGACTAAAACCACAAAGTGTTTTTTTTATATGCTTGCTTTTCTTATATATTCTTCATGTAATGCATAATAGTTTTCTCTTCTCAGTAAACTGTCGTCCATACTATGACAGGTGCTTTTTGTGGATTCTACTTTTTTTGCCTCAAAATTGTTGTATGAATATTTTGTTTTACTTTATTATTTCATGTTGCAGATGACGAAGGGATAGCGGAGTCAGGAATGTGAGTCCCTTCTGTCAGTGCCAACTTCAGTAATCAGGCTACAAGGCATGGCAAGAAGGCCCAGGAACTTGATATACTTTCTCCACATTGGAGGGTGAAGTCTCAGGGGCTGATGTACTTTGCGAAGTATGCTGGATTGTTCACACAGAATTTTCATAACTAAAGCCTGTTAACAGTAATGTGGATTGTGGTATCACAACAAAGAAGACATGGTGCTAGGTTGTACTTTTCTTTTTATGGAGAAAACTGTAGGCAACAGGAATTCAAAACAAGTTGACTGTGATGACCTTGGATGTTAACATTAATTACAAGCTATCTGAAATAATTTATATTATCTTGTTGGAAGTAAATCCATTCATCCATTAAAATCTCCAGGCAGCAAAGTTGAGGGAATCATTAATTAAATTTGTTATGTGTGAATTCTTCTGAAGACTACTGTCAGGCTAAAATATTGTGTATAATATCACACTTAGTTCCAGGCATTATTTTTTGTTTAGACTGTTCACTTTTTTTTTGTTGCATGTACAGAGAAAGATAATTTTCAGTTTACAAGCACTCAGTTTAAAGGGAATCCTGGGTTCTAGCAAGTTTGAGTTTAGTGTGTCTACGAGTATATAATTTGTTCACTCTAAGAACCTGCATATGACAAATTCCAATAATTTTTATTTATACATGACAATCTTGTTTGTGGGACTATATAATTTGCTATAAAATTGAAGATTTTCTGCAGTGGTTAGCCCAGTAGTATTATATAGCAGGATTACAAGAGGGCCTTTTATTTTAAAGTAAATGTAAACTGATGATAACATCTGTTCCTCATTTATGTAAATCTATCATCTTCATCCATTTCTTATGTATCTGATTATGATTTTATCTTCTGCTGGCATGTTAAAACTTGTTAATAGTTTCTGGTTATTTACAAATGTGAATTGGCCCTTTGGACATAGAAGACACCTGTTTCAGCAAGAGAATATGTTTCTTGTGTGGGTTCATTTGCTTCAAAGGTGATAACAACGTGCTGTAACTACAGCAACAATTCTTGGTCTACTTTCCTTTGATATTTGTTAACTACAAACAGCAGAAGAAACCCAGACTGTCAATTATTTCTTATGTGTTCTTGAGGTATTTTGATTCTGAAACATAATATACTAGAAGAAGGGAGGACCTGGGAAGGCAGATCTTTCTCTCGTATAATGAGCTATAGAATACAGTGAATAAAATAAATGAAATTATTACATTATTACTGGCAGTAACTATAGTGAACAAATAGGAAAAAAACGTACAGAAGACATAATTCAAAACTCAAAAAAATAACATTAACTGTAATGGACCATGACTTAGAAATGTTTCATGCTATAAACATTTAAAAATATTAGATTAGTTTTTTAAACTGAAAAACATACATGGTCAACAAGAGGACTGAAGTCAGTTATTGATTATTTTCTGGCAGTTTTAACTAAAGATGTTTAGGAATAGAAGAAGCACAACCTGAGCACTGATCAATTTTATTGGAAACAAAAATAGAATTTAAAACCGTATGTTATAAAAGAAATTGTAAACAAAGGAAGTATATAGAATCTGTTTGTTAGGACAAGATTTGTTATAACACCACCAGAATAAATTAGATGAAAAGTTATAGTTTAGTATATGTTAAACACAGCAGCAGAAGAAACATTACATCAAACAATTATTAGGGGGGGGTGTCTGTATGGGCAGTTGAATTGAAGGCAGAGAGAAAGACAAAGAAGGCATTTCACTATTTCTTCTTAGAAGTAATAAAGATAAAACTTAGGATAGGAATGTTTAGAAGAAAGTGAAGTTTAGAGGTTGTTACGGTGAAGGATGGCATGTGATTCATCTATATTTAGGCTATAATATTGCTGCTATTAAAACTTGCAGGCATTGCATCACTAATCAAGAAAGTGTTACTAAAGATGTGTAACAGATTCTGCAGTTCACAATAATAAAGCAATTCTATGTTGGGGAAGCAGTTATGCTGACCACACCAAAGAAGAATTTCTCAGTAGTCTTGATGGACAAATGTAGACCCTATTCTATATAGATTATTTTGCGAAGCTATATTTCCCAGTGGAATTTCAAATGTTATCTGACATATACCTGTTTATTTCCTACTAGGGTCTGCTATCAGGGTGACTAATGACATTAGACATAGCACATATACTTCATACACAATTGTATTATTTTGTTGCTTAGTATTCTTGACATTAAGCGGCCTCCATAGTCTAGGGGTAACGTTCCCACCTCATGATTCAAGGTACGTGGGTTCAAACCCGGCGGAGGTCGGTCATGGAATTTTTAAGAGCGAAACAATTCAGGGAACAAGTCCTATGGGAGGGACTTTAAGAAGTGGGTCCCGTGTCATAGATTTATGGTACGTAAAAGATCCTCATGTCGCTAGGAGACCTCTGAGCAAAATTAGGCAACAAGTTTCCCACCCAAGTAGTTTCCAATGCCTCTGGTAGATGGGGGAAATATCAGGTACCGAGGGCCAACCTCATTGGCTGAACGGGGCTGATAGCACGCACCAGTGCCGGTAGGGTATGGCGACAGTAGAAATTAAAGGGGACGCACAATGGACCAATAACTGGTCTAAGTGCATGGGGAAAGCCACCCCCTCTAATAATAATAATAATAATGCTTGACATTAATGGGAGGCATTGATAGACAGAGTATATTCATATGTGGCCAGTTAAAATTAACAGCAAATCTGTTGTTGTAGGCTGTCTGATTCCACAGAAACCCATTCCTTCTTAGAAACAAAAAGTGCCCACTTATTCATGATCTGGTACATAACTTATGTTCATGCAGTTCATGCAACTGCATAATTTTTGCTCAATATGAGAGAGAGATCTGTCACTAAGTTTCAGATATTTCTGAAGATATGGGTCAGATGCCGCACCCTAACTTAAGAGGAAATTAGAAAAGGAAAAGTATTTTTACATGTGTGAGAATGAACATAGCAAGGAATGGGTGAAGGATGAAGTCACAATATATTTACATTTGTGATAAATACTACTGCAGAATGGGAAGGAAATTTGGAATATCCATGAATAGGCTATAGCATAAGCTAAAGTCAACTGTATTAATTGTGAGTGCCATAATTGTTATAAGCTATGTCACTTAGTGGAAGCTGAAGATCTGAATCACCTGCCTCTCAGATTTGATAGGAGGAGTACTTCAAATAATGGCAGAAGATGTTTTCTGGAATGCATCATTTCATAGCCAATAGTGTTTTATAACATACGTATGAATCCCTACCCTGCAATTATAAAATCACAACTGAACTTTTCAGTTTGGAGGGATGTGCCCTATATGCTTTGATCAAACTTGTGTAGTGCCGTGGGACACGTTCTACATTTGTCATAGCCTTTTCTCTATGATGTTTTTAACTTTTTAAACAGATGGCCCTAACTTATACTAGTAAACAAATGAAAGTCCAGACTATTAACCACTGACTGAAAACGAACTCAGTTGAGATTCTTAAGTAGTAAATTGTTTTCTTAACTCTGCATATCTTGATGTTAGACACGAACATCTCTTCTTATAGCAGGTCAGAGTTTGAGTGACAGTGATTCTGTGCTGAAGCGTTAAAAGGAATGGTGATGACAGAGAGTTCTTGGTAAAATACAAACTTTGATACATGCAGAAAAAAGTGAGGCTTTGCTTTCTATTGTTGCCAACCAAAGCCTATTGAATGGCTAAGAGTTTTGATGGATTATGTGCAGGCATTTGTGCCTTTATTGCTTTGTCTTTCATTACCGTATATACTCAACTGCAGTGCAATGTCTGAGAAGTTCACTGTAGATTACTGTTCAAAACTTGAAGCCACATTTTCAGTACCTGGGTGGTCAGATTCCTATGCCAGTTTAGTTTACTTATTTATGTATTTTCTCTTATGGTTTGCTGTAGCATTAAACTATGATACATGACTTGTAAGGGCCATGAAAGGGAATGTAACTGGCTTCTGTGAGCATTTACATGACTTGGTGGGATATACATAACAATCCTCAAATTGTTCATTTGCACTTCTCCTTTCACTCTTTTGTTCTTAAATTATTTGCTAAAAGAGCATTATATTCTTAACAACTGTAGTGTTGCAGATGCTTATCTGAACATTAGTTTTCTTGAATTTGGTGATCATCTCTATTATGTTTGATTACTGTGGGGCACGCAGTAGCATAGTTGGTTGAGGGGCTATGCTACAAGCCAGAAGGTCGTGGGTTCAAGTCCCAATGAGGTCACTGGATTTTTTTCAATTGACCTAATCCTTCCAGCCGAACTATGGCCCTGGGGTCAACTCAGCCTCTAACAGAAATGAGTACCAGGAATTAATTTTTTTAAAAAAAATTTCCTGGGGAGTATAGCACAGCCTGCGCCTAAGGCTGACAAACTTACCACCATCGTTGAGCCGATTGTCTAGATAATGTGGGACCCTCAACATCTCACAACCCTATGGGCCTTGATGGCCTAGTACAGGGATAGCTTTACTTTACTTACTTACTTACTTACTTACTTACTTACTTACTGCAGTGAAAGAACAAAGATATTTCCTACTTAAATGATATATATATTCTATATTTTCCTGACTTATATTATTATTCAGAATGTTTCACATTATAGCGCCATACTCTGGACCCTTTTTCTTTGCTTATCTCTTTACACATAATATAACTGCATAATTATTGTTAGTCAGCAGATGGTAAATTGTGAATGAGGGTTGTTCATGGCAATGTTACTTCGACATTTTGAGCTAATTCCTTATAATGATGGAGAAATTCAGTCTTCGTATTAAGGAAGTGAATAATACTTGTTTATTAAATCACGGCAGTGCCCTCTTCATTATCAGTATGAAGTATACAGTATCTTCCTCTGTTCATTATTCTCTGTATTATTTTCTTTGTTAACAGCTTCCATTGTAATTGGAGTGGCTAGTGATATGTGTTACAATTATGCTCCTCTGTGTAGCATGTTGGCGTTCATCACATCCGTCCATATATTTTTATAGTGGCAGCTGGTACTTTGTTACCACACACTAGTTGTAAGTGTACAAATGTCTAGCAGTTGGATATCAGGAACTGGTAGCATAACTGAGGGGATTCGGAACTAAAAGCTATTTCAGCTACTTCAAAGATATAAATTCTAAGCCTTAAGTCTTGCCTCATATGATATACCAAGTTTATTTTAGTGTAATTGTGATTTTGAAGTTCATTTATTTTAACACACAATTTTCTACCCGGTCAAGTTGGTTATGTTTGCACTTTAAATAACTGGAATTACTGCTTCAATCTTAGAGTAGAAGTAAGTTTCAGCTCTGAAGATGAAAACAGAATATTCCTCTGAAATTTTGTATTTCTTCTACCAGATTATAACATGTTGTCATAATCCAGAAGACCTTTGTTGCATTCACTGAATTGTGTGATTGACTCTGATGAAACTCGATAGAAAACATTTCTGTTATGCAGGACTTCCAATGTGTAAGTTTCATTAACCTCATTTCAGTTTATTAGGCACCCCAACTGATGGCATAACTGAACTATTACTGATATGTGTCTCTTGAGTTCTTTGACAGATTTAATGAAACTCAGTACACCTCTATCATATAGTTGTTTTCACACAAGTTTCATTCACACGATTCACTGTAAGTGGCACCGTACTTAAGGGCCTACATGAACCATTTGAATTCTTTAACAGATTTTGAAATGCAGCACCTCTGTTGTGCTGGGATTTCCATGCATAAATTTAATTCATTTTGAGGGTTACTTTCTTTATATGCCTAAATTAACGTGTGTGCATATCATGTTCCCCCTTGACAGATTTTTGATGAAACTTGATATACTGAACTTCTGTTACACAAATAATGTGTGAATTCACTCTTAATATCTAGACAGGAGGAGATCGTTAATGCAAAATTGAACACACCTTTCCAATGCCACAGGAAGTGTAGTTCTTGTTAATAGTTTGTGAATTCTGTCCTGCACACACATGATTTTGTGGATGTTGATACTACTTTCTCATATAAATTAAAGTAACAGGTTTATTGTAATAGCATAAAAATTTTATAAACCGTTTCCTGTTTAATTTTTGCAGGAAATAAATTAGAACAATACCGTGCAGTGAAAAGACTGACAACAGATAGTACTGTTGGAAAGTTAATTTTCAGAAGTAGTTGTGTTAATACACTGACAGTAAAAAATAAAGCAATTTTATGCAAAATCTGAATAGAAAATGCCTTGCACAGTAAACATACAAATTCTTAGAACTGGTTGAAGAATTACTCTTTGATTATGACCTGGTAAGGATATTTATATTGGTCTGGGCAGCTTAAAATGGCGGTGGGTTTAGAATCCTTTTTAACAAGATGCTGTGACCAAGTTTCCTTGAGACATTTCTAATGCTAAGTATGCACAAGAGTGTTCGTAATATCTACAAGTAAGAGAAGAATTGTGCTTGCTTGTTGCAGGATGGAGCAACTGTAGTTTAAGGCGTGCCCACATTACTCGTGCTCATGTGACTCGCTATGCTTGCAAGTAATATGGACGATATGACAAGTCATGAGACTAGCAAATTTTTAATTTAAAAACTATAGCCAATAAATTAAAATACGACTACAGCCTATACACACTACGAGTAAATATACGGATCCTCACGAGCCGAAACCTGGCGAGCTACTGAAGTAGTGTGGACAAAGATTTATGAGCACAAGTATATACAAAGGATGAGTGATAATGTGAAGATTTTTAAACACACACTGAAAAGTTTCCTCACAACAAATGCTTTTTATTCAATAGATGAATATATTTCTGCTAAGCATGTATAACATTTAATAACTATATTCCTTGCAATTTTATTTATGAATAACAATGTAAATTATGGTTATTTGGTGCTTTTGGTTGTGTGAGGTTGTTTGCTGTTGATATGATTGTACTTCTGCAATCGAGTCTTATTTTGATGAGTTCAATATCCGGTCCAATTGAGACAACGGATCAGTGAATTCATGAATTATGTATGTATGTATGTAAGTAAGTAAGCAAGTAAGTAAAAGCCATACGAGCACGAGTAATGTGGACGCGCCTTTATAGTTACTTGGTGAGCTTAATGAGTATCTGTAAATAAGATATTTTTAATATAAAAATTAGACTCTTCTTAGATCTGTATTGTACACTTTTTATATAAGATTGCATTGTTTTAGATAAATTTACAGTACTTAATTGTTGATGGACTGTAAAGAGAAATATATTTTACATGAA